CTATCAATGATAACAGTAATCTTATCACTCTGTATTTCTATACCCATCCAGCTAGCCAATTCCTCAGGGGTTAGACCCATCACTCCTAAATCCCATTAATAGCTTTTGCCTTGAGTAATTGTTTGCCATGTAACAGCTGTTTCAATCAATCCATGGGTGTTTTTAATCCCAACCAGAAACCAAAGATTTCTCATTTTACCTCCCCCCCCCCTTTTTTTTTCCCAAAACCACATATTCCAGTGAGTCTGGACCATAGCACCAAACCCCACCATTCTGATACTAACTGCTTGAATAATTTCTTTTCTTTCTTTCTTTTTAATTGCAATTTGGGTGAAAGTTTTTACAGAGCAAATTCATTTTCCATATAGCAGTTCATACATATTTTGTTTTAAGATATTGACTGCAGTTCCCCACAATGCAACAGCTCTCTTCCCACTTCCTCTCTGTAGTTACTTCTTCCCTCTGTCATTTTTCCTATGCATTCCTGCCCACCCTCACACACAGCTATCTCCCTGTGCAAACACTGCCCATCTGTTCTCCCATTATTGATTGCTCTAAGGGGTGTATCTACCTGATGTAGATGTTCGCCCTACATGACTGTCTGCTGTTTGGCTGGAAGCCACAGGAGTGTGTTCAGTTCCAGACCTGAAAGGTAATTAAGGGCCATAGTCTTGGGGATCTCACCCAGCTCTATCAGATCAGTAAACCTGGTCTTATATATATATATTTGTTGTTGTTGTTGTTTGCTGTCGAGTCAGCCCTGACTCATAGCAACCCCTCCTTGGGTTTCCGAGGCAGTATCACTATGGAAGTAGGATTGCCCAACCTTTCTTCCGAGGAGTGGCTGATGGGTTTGAACCGCCAGCCTTCTGGTGAGCAGTCAAGTGCCTTAGGCACTATGCTACCAGAGCTCCTATATATATATATATATATACACATATACATATATACATATATACACATATACACATATACACACATATATATATATAGTGATTTTGAGTTTTGTTCCATACTGTTCTCCAATTTATCCAGGATCTCCTGCACTGATCCCTTACCGAGTGGTTGACAGTGGTAGCTGGGCATTATCTAGTTCTTCTGGTCTCACAGTCATATAGGCTGAGGATCGCATGGTCTACTAGTCCCTTGGACTAATGGTTTCCATGCATCTTTGGTTTTCTTCATTCTTCTTTGCTCTGGATGAGGAGAGACTCGTTGTTACATCTAGATGGCTGCTTGCAAGCTTTTAAAACTCCTGTCACTACTCACCAAAGTAGGATGTAGAACAATGTTTTTGTATAGTATGTTATGCCAATTGAGCTTTATGTCCCCTGGGACCATGGTCTCAAGCCCACAGGTCCAACAACTTGCTCCCTCAGGGTGGTTGGCTGTGGCCAAGAAGTTATCATAACTTTGTCCCTTGTTAGCTCTATTATATATTTGGACATTCTTACAGCACACACATGTAGAAATATCATCTACCAACCTTATAAGGGTATATTCCCTTTTCCCTAGACATATCTGATCATTCAACTTGTCTACCCATCTATTTACTCATAGATTAATGTTTTTTTTTTTATCACTGACAGTGCAGTATTGTATATGTAAAAGTGTTTATCTTTGTGGTCTGTACCCCTTTTGTACCTCTCTGTGTCTTCCTCTTCCTCAGTGCCACCATATTGATCATTCGCTTTTAGTACATTGCCCTTCCCTTCCCCCACATGAATACTTGTCTACCTATTTAGCAGTGTTCCCTTCCCTCCCTGGTAACCAACGAAGAAAGTTTCCTTCCATATATAAACTTTCCTTGACTTTTAACAATAGTGAACTAATACAATATTTGTCCTTTGTGATTAACTTATTTTACTCAGTATAATGTCCTCCAAGTTCATCCACATTATGTGGTGTTTGGCAGATTCTACATTTTGAATAATTTCTTTTAGAAGGATCAGCACCATATCCATCAGTACACAGGTTAAAAATATCCCAAATGTCCAGCTTTTCTAAAGTGTTCTACTATTCCATCATCTCTAACATCAACTACACTTCCTCTCCTTGGTACTCACCCTTCCATCTTAGCATTCCATATTTCACTGCAACATCTTACAGAACTCACAAACTGCCAAAGAACTGGCTCACACAGTTGTGGAGGCTGGCAAGTCCCAAATCTGTGGGTCAGACATTGGTCCGAAGGATTGTCCTCACTCACGTGGTTGCACGGGTCAAGAACCCAAATCAGCAGGTCAGACAATTGGCTGTGATCTCAAGTTCTAAGAAATAGGTGTCAGATGATGATGAACAAGGTGCAGGATCCAGAGCAAGAGAGCAAATTTGACAGAGCATTGATATAAATACCCTCAAGGAAATAAAAGGTGATGACTTGACTCACACTTTCTAGTAAGGTGGTAACTCAAGGTAGATCCCATCCTAATCCTTCCTCATTAATTTAACAGACAGCTCACTCTAAAATGGGACCTTAACCAGAGGCATAGAAGCTAGGATTTACAATACATCACAAAATGGAAGAATATGGCTAGAAGGGCCATATAAAGTAATTCACTGCACTGCACTTATTCATACTATGTTTTTTCTTACTCATATATACAATAGATATCCAGAGTGGGCCAGGTGGGCAGCATTAACCCATTGGACACCCAACTTTGTTTTCCAGGATTGCACTCAGTAAAGGTGGATGAAGCCAGCTCCAGGATGGAATTGGACAGTGTAAGATTTCATCACAACTCAGAACAGTTTGCAAGTTAAATATTTTTCGGACCATGGTAGTTCACAGGTAACAGAAACTAGAAAGCAAAACTGCAGATAAGGGGGGAACTACTGTATATTGTCTTGAAGCCTGATCTTTTCATTTAATGATGTGTTTTGAAGACCTTTCCTAGTCAGTACATAAAAACTTTGTAAGAAGAAATGAGCTAATTTCAACCAACCGTTCTGTTAAAGATAAAGCTGAACATAGTATAAAAAGCATATGCTTGAAGGCAACAGAAAACTAACAAGGTATAAAAGAAATTACAGGCGGGGCAAAAAATGTTCCTGCTAGCTCACTTGGCCTCCATTGGAGTTTTTTCATGGAAAACTGACTCAAGGATTATTATTATTATTTCTTATTGTGGTCAAATACATGTAAGTAAAATTTGCCATTTTAACCATCTTAAGTGTATAAGTTAGTGGTATGAATTACATTCACAATGTTGGGAAACCATTACCACTGTCTATTTCCAAAACTTTTTCATTAACTCAAACAGAAATTCTGTACCCATTAGGAATAATTCTTCATTCTTCCCTTCCCACCAGCACTTGGCATTCATTAACCTATTATTATGTCTATGCATTTGCCTATTCTAAATATCTCATATAAGTGGTATCATACAATATTTGTCCTTTAGTGTCTGGCTTATTTCACATAACATAATACTTTCAAGATTCATCCATGTTGTAGCATGTATCAGAATTGCATTCCTTTTTATGGCCACATAATATTTCACTGTATGTATATACCACATTTTTTTTTCACATTTTGTTTATCTATTCATCTGTTGATAGACACTGGTTGTTTCCACCTTATGTATACTTTGAGTAATGCTGCTATGAATGCTATGAGCTTCAGTGTTCAAATATTTTCTTGAGTCTCTGCTTTTAAATATTTTGTGTATATACCTAGGTGTGGAATAACTGGGTCATATGGTAATTCTATGTTTAACATTTTGAGCAATCAGCAAACTGCTTTCTCCCACCCAAAGACTTTTAGTTTCTCTCTTTTTTTGGGGGGTGGGGGGGTGGGCAGGGAGATTCAAGGGACTAGGAAATTTTGTTTTCTTATAGCTGTGTGCACAGCTTCCCCTGATGTTATTCTGTTTCTAACAAAATGGGAGAATAAATATTCTAGTTTAGAGGCAACTAGCTATACTCAAATATTTTTTTTCCTTAAAATTTAACTTTGGGAAAAATTTCAAAAAAAAATGAACTACAAAATAACCTCATTTTTTTTTAATTGGGGTTGCATTGTATTTATTCATTAATTTAGAGAGAATTGACACCTACGTCACATGCCATTTTAATTACTTGTTTTACTCTAAATCTCTTGCCAGTGCCATCCATCTTTGGTTCACCTTATCATTCATACTGTTTTTAACAATACCCAATTGCTGTTGAGCAAATACAGGGAGTAATGAAGGAATATGTGATTCTAATTATTTTCCAATGAATATAGAATGATTTTTGCTTTAAGTAACGTATTGTTTCTTCACTCAAGAAAGTCATAGTTGTGGATTTAGCTATTCTCAAACTCTTTGGGCAAAATATGGAATGTTTTAAAGATCTTCCCCTTAGAAAAGTGCTCATATGAACCTACACCAAATTTTGCATACAGTTCTATGGGATTCATGGATATTTGAAACATCTCTTTCTGAATCCCAGCTGAGCAATCTTTGCTTCAGTGAGATCTCAACTTTAGCATATTGAGGGTGTAGGTCTATTGATGTTAGCCAAAGCCAGTTCTACCCCCATGATCATGGGAATTTCAATACTTGTCAACCCTAGATAAAGCAATAATTCCTGCAGCGAAAGATCCTAGGGTGTTATACCTGTTTGTAGATAAGAACCAAGGCAGGTGATGATGACTTCTTCCCTCTCTATGGTCCTTGGAGGCCAGAAGGATATTGTTTTGTCTCTACCCCACATGTAATTACACATCACACATAATGTGTAATTTATTTTAAAAAGCCTAACCCCACCCCCCCGAATTAGGGTGGCCATACATCTGTTGTTCTGGTTTACATCTGTTGTCCCAGTGCAATTATTAATAGCATTCTCTTTAACTCTCAAAACCATCCCAGTTTAGAAAATAAAATTATTTTATATAATTATATAAGTAATATAATTATACCCTAATCAGAATGAGCACTCCTTGATCAATTTCTAGCTTTAATTCTTGTCATTTCCATTTCCAAACCCAATCCTTCCAGAATCCCCACATGGGGTTTCTAATTCTGTTCTTCCTCAGGCTCAGTCCAGACTCGGATCTGCCTGATCAGGAGCAAAGACTCTTGAGGTGCTAACACCAGGAGTCGTATACAGCTCAACTCCTTTACAGCATCTTCTTCATAGAATACCCTCTGGTCCAAATGCCCTCTCACCAGTGGCCCTAGTAGGGTGTAGTGAGTACAGTCTTTGGGTTCCTCCATGAGATCATAGCCCAACTCTACTTGCCCCTGCTGAACTCTGTACCTCCCTTCTCCAGCAGAGCCTGTCAGGACCTCCACCCGGATGACTTTTTGTGGCTTCTCCAAAATCACTGTCAAGTGGTTTCCTCTTACAGGATCCAAGGTAGCATAGTAATCCTCATTCAGAGTATAAGCATATTGTGGGAAAAAAGTCAATACTGTCATCATGTCAGTAAGGACACTGGCAGTGGGGTTGTCTGGTTCACCAAAGACCTTTTCCTTCTCCACAGGAAAGCATGCATTTTCAAACATACAATTGCTCATGTGGTGAAAGATGGTGGGACTGAAACGAATTGGAACATTTTGGGCCAAAAGAAAGCAGAATTCAGAGAGAAGCAAGTCAGTAGGAGTGTCCTGGAAGAGGAAGAAGAACGAGGTCAGGCGGGAGAGGTCCCTCGTGTGGAAAACTTTCCCAGAGAAGCTCAGGCTGGAGAACTCCAGGATCATCCAAGGTATTTCTTTCCAGGCTTCCAATGTCCAATAGATTGTAGAAACAAATTTTTGGGTACAGTGAACATTATCTCCTATCATCAGAAAGTAATCGGAGAGGTTACTAGCAAAGTTCATGAGGAGGCCATAATCTGTTTTCTGCCTGGAATAAAGTGCTTTACAGGATGAGGAGTGATGGGTGTCATTCACATCTCTGGGGAGAGAAGAGCCATTGAGGAGACCTTGGATCACAAGCAGCTTCTGGGTCTCAATATGTGGTTTGAAGAGGCTTGAAATATTGGCAACTGTTTGGCTGAGCCACTCAGGATCAGGATTTAACAGGTGGACCAGCACCATGATATAACTCAGCTCAGGTTCTGAGGATGCCTGGAACAGGGACTGCAGGGTGTGCAAGAGGCAGCTTTCGTGAGGATGCTGCACGAAGGAAATCCCCACCGTCAGCAGTTCTGGGGGAGATATGGAGACCTTAGCACTTCAGGTTGGTGAAGAGCTCCTAGGTTAGGACTGTCCTTCTAGGTCTTTCCCTTACTGCTGCTACTTGTGACAAATTCAGAATTCTTTCCCTGGGAGACTAAGGTCTTGATAAGAATTAATATTCTATCAGAAACTTCTATCAGAAGTTGTGAAGTGGTTTTACTTGATCAATATTTTGAAAGGCTTCAGGAGAAACCTTACGAAGGACAACAAAGTTCCCTAATGGTGAAGATTGCCATGTACTAAATGCAAATTTTCAGGCTTGGCAAATTGTCTTACCTGGCCTTGATCTACAGAGTTATCTCAAACCTGGATTAGAGGATCTCCAGGCACATATATAAACCCAAGGGCTCTGGCAATCCAGTGCACTGTGATAGATGGCCATACTCCCCTCTTTGCCTTCTACTCAGTACTTTTTCTCATGATTTCACCTGCATCCTCCCTGATCCCAGCTTTCCTTCCCTGAGAACCTATCATTAATGAGCTTTACTAAGGGATGTCTCCTTGATAGAGTTACTATGGATTTCTCATTTATATTATATTCAAGGGGGAGATAATGGGGGGGAAATGCACTTAGGGTTATAACCTGTACTGAAATTCCGCAGCATGGTCCTCACTCAGAGTTCCCTCCTTTCATAAACTGATGCTGGTCATTTTCTCTTTTGACCTACTTCTTCCTTTTCTGGAGACCATGTCCCAGTCTGACCACTCCATCCCACATACTTACTCTTTTCCTGGGGAGGGGTTCCAGTCAAGATTTTGTAGTTGGCATTTTGGAGTAAAGGGGAGTTTTTCTGCATTGCCTTGAAAGTCCTCACATGGTTCTTGCTTCCAGAGATGATTTGCTCCTGATCTAGCTGCCACACTATTTTCTTCTTTTTCTCCTGAGGATACAATATGTATCAGTCTTGATTTATTCCCAAATTCTCTGGTAACAATTTCAGGGCAGATCCTCCACTTAGAACAGGCTGAGGTAAGCCCCAGGATACCAGTCTCTGTGCAGACAGAGTGTCAGTGCTCAATCCACTATTTTCCCAGCTTATCAGAACACAGAGGTTCCAGCATGGGTCATGGGCCCTGCACAAATTGAGCTCCCCCAGTTTTGTGTGGGATTTCTGTAGGAAGGTCCTAGGCTTATGTAGGGTAAGAATTTGCCTCCCTCACTATGTCCCATATCTCATTTGTCCTACCATTATCAGACTGGCAAAAGTCATCTAACACAAGTTAGGTCTGTGCTAGGTGCCTAAGACCAATTTCTAGTTCTTGTCCTTCAGGAATTTATACACAGTGCTTCAATTCTAAAGTCCTTCCTTTTGCTGAATTCTGACCACCCCTACATTTGAGAACCACTCCCCACATCCATTGTGTGCTGTGCTCTGGTTGTTTTGAGTCACATTAGGAAAAATGTGGACTGCCAAGCCTCAGCACACCCATGGTGGATTGTGTTTCTCCACTTGCATGGGTCGTACACTTGTGGAAGTTATTTCAGGGCTCTCAGTCTCAGTCCCCTCATGTATGACATGGGAAGATAGCATCTCCCATGCTAGGCTCTGGTTAGGTAAGTGGCCAGCACCTAGGAAGTCCTTACAGTAGTCTGGTCCTGGTGGTAAGTGTGATCCTGCAGAGGTGGCTGTGCATTGTCCTCACCACATTTACAATGCCCTCTCTTCTTCCTTGACACTATCTATATATCAAGGCTGGTTTAATATTTATCTTTTCCCTGACACTCTCCTGATTTTTCAAGTCCCCTCTTCTTAGGACATTACAGTAGTACTAGAGTATTACAGTACTGGAGTGTTCCATATAACTGAAAAATTCCCCCCGCCCAACAAAAGGTTGGAAAGTGATCCACTTGAAGGTCTTTTGCTCACCATTGATGGACTGTACTCAACATATTCTTGGTTATTGGCTTGGAAGAAGATCAGGAAGGCTAAAAATGCAGCAAGTATGATATATCTCCACAGGCAACTGTACATGGTGATGGGGCTGGAGCAGCTCTTCAAAGAAATGAGAGGGAGAGATAAGAGAAGTACATGGATGTCATCCTCTTACCTTGAAGCTTCCCACTTTTCCCCATCTTTCCTCCTGGACACCATTATCCAATGATTTCCTTGGCTTTTCTCCACCCAATTTGACACTCCCATTACTTGTAGCCATCCAAGGAAGATAAAAGTCAAGCAATGTGATTCTGTTTAGCCTTTATCTTCTTCATCTCCTGCCAGGCTTTCCAGATGACACTGGAGAAGCCTCCTTTATTTATCTACACAAAGTAGAGAACTAACCAGAATGCATGTGTTGCTCAGAAGTGGAAATCAAGGGCTTATGTATTAATTGTACCCTTTCAAAAGCCTCAAACTCCAGTCAAAGTCCCCTTTTATTGATGTGCCTTGTCTCTTTGCTCCCCACTTACTTTTGTGGCTGATCCTTTCCAGGATTAGGTTTTGTAGATATATGAGGTTTGAATCAAGTCAGAAGGACCAAGGAAAATGTTTGTTGACATCCCCCCATCTCAAACTGGTAAGAAGGATGGAGATCTAAAAGTGACCAGAAGTTTCTAACCAAGTGAAAATCTTCACCATGTGTGAAGTGCTATGTCCATTTTTTTTTAATCTAACAAAAAATGGGGTATGAGGGTTGATCAGAGAGCACATATCTCTCTCTGAAGCCAAGAGGAAAATCTTTAATGTTGAAGGATGTGGTCCCAAAGTGAGGTAGCTGAACCTAGTCACTCCACCCAAGGACCCCGCCTGACAACCATTGTTCATCCTGTGTGAGGTGGGAAGAAATTTTAAAACTATCATTTCTGTATTTTATCTCAAACCCACACATTTTGAATTAACTCTCACTCTGAATCAAGTTGACAAGGGTGGATTTTGAATAATTCCTTCTGTTAGAGGGCCCCAATGGATGATTCCTGGAGGAGGCATACCCCCATTTCACACTTGGCTGCTTTCAGGCTCTTTGGGCTGTACTGCCAGGTAGGTCTCTTAGCCACCACAAACTGGTTCTTAAACCAGTTCTCTCTTGGGACCAGAACCATCCAGTGGGTCTCTGCAGTTTCCTCCTCTTTCTTTGTTCTTTAATTACTGAGAATGGATTTCCAGTTCATTGTGTCCATTTCTCTCCTTCATCTTTGGCTGGTTAATAGGCAAAATGTAGATGTATGTGTATACATGCCCTCCATGTGCTACTAGTATTGGATCCCATTCTGGATCTGTTCCTGGCACTGCCTGATGGCTGGGGCCCCTGACTAGGTTTTCAGGCTGGAGGTTGTGAAGTCTGTCAGTTTCCTCTTTAGCCTTTTCTAATACCATCTACCTCTCTTCAGGGGTGAGCAAGGTAGTTAATAACATATTAATATCAGCCCAATTGGGATGATGAACTGAAAATATGGAGGTGATTAAAGTCTCCAATTGCTTTGGATTCTCCCTATAAGTGGACATTGTATTTTTCCAATTTAATAAGTCAGCCATGGTGAATGGCATATGAGTCCAAATGAAACCTCCAGGATTCCCTTCATGATCTAAACCAGTTGGACCCTGCTGTAATGAGTATTGGCCTGACTGATCTGGATTAGACCCCTGGCCAAATTATACACTGCTCCGTGTGTGCTGGGAAGACCATTTCCTGAGGGGCACCTGCTTTCTGAGGGGCATCTGGGGTGCTATCAGGTAAAGGAGGATATAACACCACTGGAGTTCTAGGAGGTTCTGAATTTAAGACTCCCCTAAGTTTAGATGGTGGAGTCATAGGTGAGTTGTCTCTTGACTCTGGGAGGTAGGGGGGAGGTCAGATGGGGGAGGAACGGAGTCAAGGAAAGGGTCTTCAGAGTCCTGAAGGACACCTTTAAAATCCACCTTCCCTTTAGGCTGTACAACCATCACCTTGCACTGTTTCTGTAAACCCTTGTTCTGAAACAAGGCCATGAACAACTCCAGGTTAAGCAGTACTTCCCACTTTTGATCTTTCTTGCAAAACGAATGTAACTGCATAATAATATGATAGTTCAGACTCTCATTCTCTGACCGTCTATCCCCAGACTCGAGCCGATATTGAAGCCAGACAGTGTTACAGAAAAATATAATTTTTTCTCCTTTTTTTATAGGTTTGAAGTCAAAATGAGCCCAGTTTTTCAGAATGCAGCCAAGGGGGCTGCATTCTGGTATAGAACCTTGGTTACCCATTTTCCAGTCACACTTCATGTTCACTCTCACTTGAAGCTTTTGTGCCAGTGCCACGCACCCACACTCCCACCCACACACAAACATATCAAACTAGAACCAGACCAGATCAAAGTAATGAGTCCCTAAGAAGCATGTGGGTTATAGACAGATCTCGATTAACACTTTATTTCTCACCCACACCCATATACCAAACCAGAACCAGACCAGATCAGAGTATAAAACCTTAAAAGACACATGGGCTGTGGAGATGTCTTAGCCAAGGCTTCCAATCCCCTGTCAGCTCACTTCAGCTGCAGAGATGTCTTAGCCAAGGCCTCTAAACCCCCTGTCAACTCCTTCGGTGCTCTAAAGAATTCAGCTATACTCACCCCGGAGATGTTTTCAAACCCAGAATAATTTTCTCTTCTCTCAAGAAAACAAACATGTCTAGGGGCTGAGGATGCTACAGATGGTCACTGACTCAGCACCCCTTATGTACCCTCAGACAAAGCAGTGTCTGAGTGCACACAAGGGTCCATCAGGGGTATGTTCTACTTCCACCATCTGAGGGTCCTAGTGCTCTAGACAGAGGGTCAGAAACCCTCGGTCCCACTTGGGGTATCAAATTGAAATCAGACCAAATGTGGGTCCCTGCCTGGAACACAGTCAGACCAAAACTGTTTACACACCGAGTGATTAAGAGGAGAGAAAATTATTTATTGCAAAGTGGCAATGCAAGGAGACGGGCCTGTACCCAAATCTGACTTCCTGAATGGTGGTCGGGTTATAGTTTTTGTAAGTTTCAGGAAAGAGTGTTATACATATTCATAACAACTTCAGGAATTTGGGTATGAATTAGTTGAGGATTGTCTAAAATTTCCTTTGCCTTAGTTTAAAGGGACAGTTGTTTTTTAATGCAGTGCACTTGCATACCAGATGAATCATCCCGGCTTCCTGTCATCAACTGATCGGGGCTTAGGCAGAGGGGAGAATATCAGTTCCCAGCAACTTTGTTCCTGTTTGTCTCACTGTGCAAGTCCACGGGCTAAGGTCACTTTTCAAGTTGTCTTCTGAAACACATTAACATACTTATCACCTGTTTCTAGGGGATAACATGGAGACAATGTGTAAATTAACCTTTCATTCCATTCAGTTCTTTTTTATTATTATTATTATTTTAAATTGTGATTTGTGTGAAAATTTACAGAGCAAATTCACTTTCCATACAGCAGTTCACATACACTTTGTCTCATGACACTGACCACAATTTACCACAATGCAACAGCTCCCCTCCTACTTCCTCCCGATAGTTACCTCTTCCCTGTGTCCATCCCTCCCTGCTCCCTGAGCTGTCTTCCTGTGCATAAAAAGCCCTTCTTTCTCCCATGATTGTTCTCTCCAAGGAGTATATCTACCTCAGGTAAATGATCAACTCATATGTCTGTCTTTTGTTTGTCTGGAAGCCAGAGGTGTAGGTTCAATTCCAGACCTGATGGGCAGCTAGGAGCCATAGTCTCTCTGAGCTAGGAGTCTCATAGTCTCCACCAGGCTCTATTGGACCAGCAAACCTGGTCCCCCCATTTTTTTCCTCCAAATGATTTTGAGTTTTGTTCCACATTGTTCTCCCTCTCTATCCAGGATCTCCTACATAGATCCCCCTCTGAGTGGTTGACAGTGGTAGCCGGGCACCATCTAGTTCTTCTGGTCTCATAGTCAAATAGGCTGCAGATCGCAAGGTGTACCAGTCGCTAGGACTAATTGTTTCCATGAATTTTTGGTTTTCTACATTCTTCTTTGCTCTAGATGAAGAGAGAGCCATCATTGCATCTAGATGGCTGCTTGCAAGATTTTAAGATGCCAATCGCTACTTGCCAAAGTAGGAGGTGGAACAATGTTTTGTGTAGTATGTTATGCCAATTGAGCTTGATATCCCCTGAGATTGTGGTCCCAAGCCCACAGGTTCAACTACTCAGTCCCTCTGGGTAGCTGGCTGTGACTAAGAAGTGACTACAACCTTGTCCCTTGTCAGCTCTACTATAAACTTGGGAATTCAGATCATATAAATAAACTTATAGGACCACTGTCTGCCAATGCTATACATGGTCTTGAGTACACTTCCCACTTCATAGACATACTACTAGTTCAGCCTGTCCACCCATCTATCCACCTGTATACTCATGTTTGCCTTCACTGACAATGCAGTACTGTATGTGTAAAAGGGTTCATCTTTGTGGTCTGCACCTCCCATGTACCTCTCTATGTCTTTCTCTTCCTCAATGCCACCATGTTGATCACTCACATTTGGTACATTGCCCTTCTCTTCACCCAGATCAATACTTACTCTTCCTATCTAACAGTGTTTCCTCCCCTCCCCTCCCACCCCTGGTAACCAACAAAGAAAATTTCCTTCCATAGATAAACCTTTCCTTGACTTTTACAATAGTGGACTAATACAATATTTGTCCTTTTGTGATTGACTTATTTCACTCAGCATAATGTCCTCCAAGTTCATCCCCATTATGTGGTGTT